TTCATAGTGGCCTGGGAGAAGCCCGGAGAGACCTTCTTCTGATCAAATAAAAGAAAACACATTCCAGTCCTCTCAGAACATCTTTGGTCTATTTTATCAAAGAAACGAGTGGGAGAGTAGGATATAGTTGTTCTGAAGAATCATTTGAACAAGATTGAGATGCATAGTCCCTCTTTGGTTACTCTCAGATTTTGCAGAATGACAAAAAAACTGAGAATGTCAGGAACACAATTAGTGGCTGAATTATAGGTCAGAGCTGGAAGGGGTTTGGAGGATGATGATAATGGAGACCTAGAGAGGGAGAGAGACTTGCATATGAGGTTAGGAGCAGATCTCAGGTCTTAGGACTTGGAGACTTGGGCTTTGTACCACTCCCTTCTACAGTGTTCTTCTGATATAGTGCAAAGAATACTGGATTGGAGGTCAGAGCACCTAGGTTGAACTCAATTCCTGATGCTGTTTTAACAGAGGCAGTCAGGTGATACAGAGGATAGGGAGCTGGGCATGAAGTCAGAAAGACCCGAACTCAAATCTGGCCTTAGACGCTTGGTAGCTGTGTGATTCTGGGCAAGTTGCTTAAACTCTGCCTGACTCAGTTTCCTCAACTGTTAAATGGGGATATTAATAGCAGCATATCTTCCCCACAAGAATTGAGTGAGGTGGAGGGCTTAGCACAGTGCCTGGCACGTAGTACGTACTTAATAAATGCTTGTTTCCTGCCTTCTGCAGCAGCTGTGGGCAATTTCTTTTCCTCATTTGTAAGGTAATGGAGTTCAACTCCATCAAGGGTTCTTAACCTGGCCTCCATGGATCCAGGGTTTTGTGAATAGATTTCAAGGAACCCATGAACTTGGGTGGGTGAAAATCATGTTTTATTTAAACATAATTGGTTTTCTTTGTAACTTTGTGTATTTCATTTTATGCATTTAATCACATGATTCTGAGAAGGGGTCCATACGCTTTCCCAATCTGCCAAAGGTGTACAGGACACACAAAAGGTTAAGGATCCGGGAATTCGCTAATCTCTAAGGCTGTATTCAGCTCCAGATCCTTTCAGGAGCCCTATTTGCTCTGTGCTTTTTGCAATCATCCAAGATCTCTGCAGTGGTCCTCTAATATTCCAAACTTGCAGATGGTTTGATTTAAAAACAAAAAACCACCTTCTTTCAAGATTGGTTTTTTGCCCCCTGCCCTGGGAGTGGAGGGATGACAGATAGATGTTGGGATTAGCAGACACTCAGAGTTCCATTATAAACTCCTTGAGAGCAGAAGCCATGTCTTAGATTCCTCTTGCACCCCCAAAGGGTTATGCTGGTGGTCTAAAATTTAATAACAATTTGTGCTTACATAGCATCTTAAGGGAAAAGGTTCTTTTTTCAGAATGGGGTGAGGAGTACAGATATTATTGTCCCTTTGAACAGATGAGGAGATTGACCCTCAGGGGAAATGTCTTGCTCAAGTCAGTGGCATGGCCAGGATTTGAACCCTGGCTGGGTTTTTTCTCTTTGCTGCTTCTTCAAGGAATTTGCAACTTCATTAGATTAGAACATCCGAAACTTCAACAACTTTTATTTTGAAACTGAGAACAACTTTGCTTGTCAGAAAGGCTACTAATCTTAATAATGCTAAAAGAATGGGAACAGAAATATCTTATTCTCAGCTTTAGAACTAACTGTTCTACTAACTGTTTCAAACCTTTCCTAGCTTAGATTCTGCCTTGAAAACCATGTGTTTGCTCAATATTTATTCAGCAAACATGACTTGAAGCCAGAATGAGGCAGTGAAGGGACCTGAGTTCAAATCCTGACTCTCTCAATTATTATCTGTGTGACCTATGGCAAATCATTTTACTTCTCCTTTCCTATTCTATTACCCTTTGATCCTGTGGACCATTATGAATCAATGCAAAGAGAAGGGACCAGAGCCAGGCGAAAAAATAAGATAGTACTTGTAAAGCATTTAGGACAGTGCCTGGCCCATAGTAGGCACTTAACACATGCTTGTTGTAGCTTTCCTTTTCTTTTCTTCCTTCCTTCTCTCCTTCCTTCCTTCCTTTCTTTTTACCTTCCTTCCCTCCTTCATTCCTTCCCTTCTTCTTCCCTCTCTCCCTTTATTCCTTCATCCCTTCCCTCCTCCCTCCCTTTCTTCCTCTCTCCATTCCTTCCTCCCTTTCTTTTTTCCTTCCTTCCTCCCTTCTTCTCTTCCTCCTTCCCTTCCTTCCATTCTTTCTTCATCACAATTACAGTAATGTAAGAGAAAAGGAAGCCAGACTTTGAGTGAATGTAATGACCAGTCTTTCACCTAGAGAAAAGATGACAAATGCACCTCCCTCCTTTTAGCAGAGGCTATGATCCCTCCACTGACGTACTCGGTTGGTTTTGTCCAGTGGTTTTTCTTGTTATAAGGGGGGATGTTCTTTCACTGGGGACAGAGGGGAAGTCTGTAAGGAAATGATTGTGATGTAAAATAAGAAGGCAATATTTTAAGTTATTTTTGTAAAGGGGACATATTAGAGTTTCTTATAGGTCATTTTCTCTTTCTGGAAAAGGAAGAATCAAGATTCCGTGGGTCCTTCAGGGTAAGGCCAAAAGAAAGGAAGGATTGTGTTACCCAGCCCCACGCCCACCACTCTACCACCGGAGGCTGCTCTTCTCCAGGTCAAGTTTGTGGCCATCTTTTCGGGACGCTTTGTTCCAGAGAAGTTTTGCATAATTCCCAGGATGCTCATTTAATCACAGAGCTCATGGAAACCCAAGCAATCTTTCATTGGCTTCCTTGCTTCCCAGCTGGGTAAAACTCTCCTCAATTTGGAGTGTGAGGACCTGAGCTATAATTGATACCTGAGCTACAGACGATACTCCCTCACTGTCCCTAGTGAGGAAACATCTCCCTTACACCAAGGAAAGCCGTTCAGCAAAACCAACAAGGTATGTTAGTGAAGGGACTGCAGCTTCTGCCAAAAGGTGAGAGGTACATTTGTCATCTTCTTTGGGGACAAAACTGGTCATTGTATTCACTCAGAGTTCAGTTTCCCTTTCTGTGACATTATTATGGTTCAAGAACTGGGTGACTTTTAGCAAATTACTTGACCCTTTTGAGCAGTTTCTTCATCAAAAAGATGGGGGAGGCAGTAAAGACGTTTGAATTTTCTCCCCCACAGGGTAGGAATGTGTGTGAAGAAAGCTTCGTAACCCGTTATCTAAATGTGAATCATTATTCTATTCCAATAAACATTTATTAAGTGCCTACTACATACACAGTATTTTTAGGTTCTGGGGTCATGAAAATATAAAAACGGCGGGGTCTAGTCTTTTAGTCTTATGGGCAGCTAGATAGCACAGTAAATAAAGTGCTGGGCTTGGAGTCTGGAAGACATGAGTTCCAGTCTGGCCTCAGACACTTACTAGCCGTGGGACCCTGGGCAAGTCACTTTACCCTGTTTGCCTCAGTTTCCTCATCTGTCAAATGAGATGGAGAAGGAAACAGCAAACCACTCCAATATTTTTGCCAAGAAAATTCCAAATGGGGTCATGAAGAGTAGGATATGACTGAAACGACTGAACAAACACCAAAAGCTTTCAGTCTTTAGGGAGAGTCTGACATGTTCTCAAAGAAATAGAATGCAAGTTACAGGGCAATAGGGGCAAAAGGAGAGAATTAGGAATAGAAATGACCTGAAATTGGCATTTACTATTTGGAATGTCTACTTAAGGAAAGTTAGAGCTAGAAGGTCCCTTAGATAGAGCATTTGTCGTTAGATAATTGACCGTCCTCATTTTGTGGTTGGGAAAACTGAAGTCCACAGAGGGAAAGTAGCCTGCCCATCCACCTTGTAGAGAGGGCAGACCTGGGAAGAGAACCCAGAACTCCTAACTCCCAGGCCAGTGCCTGCTGTGCTATGATACCTCTCCAGGAATAGATGTCAAAATAGAATGTTTTTCATTGATGTGTGTACAAAGACTGGAAGGAACCGGCTCATGCTTTTATTTTTATAGTCACATTAATCAGATTATTTTATTCTGTCTCGGCGAGGTTTGTTTGCTTTCCTTGACGTGTACGCTGAATGATCAGAACTGATTTTCCTTGTTGATTCTGTGAGAATCTCTGTGGACCATCAGCTTTGGAATGTGATTTTTTGCATCTGAATTACATAAGTGGAAGTCTCAGGGACCCACAACAGCCTTGAAGAATAGCAAGACATGAGACTATCAAGGCAGGTTTGGGTCAAATTATAGAGAGTCTTAAAGGCATGACCTAGGAGTTTAAACGGATAGGATGGAGATCTGGAAGGGCCTTTAGAAATCATTTAGTCCTTTTTTTTAATAGATGAGAAAACTGAAGTCACAGAATTTCAGAGCCAATTTTCAGTAGTTCTAATTATTAGAAAGTTTTTCCTGGTATCAAGGCTCAGTTGACCTTTGTGACTTTCACTCATGGCTCCTGGTTTAGCTAAGAAGGGAAAGTTTAATAATCTTTCTTCCTTGTGACCACTTTTCAAGTCCTTGACAAGGTTATCACTTTAATTCTCCAGCCCACCTCCTTGGCCCTCCTCCCAAGCTAAAAACCCCCATTGTCTTCAATCAATCCTCAGAAAACATGGACTTGGGCCCTTGACCATTGTTTTGCATGTTCTCAGCTTACTAATGCCCTTTCTCAAATGTGGGGCTCAGAATTGAACCCCAAACTCCCCATGTGGTCTGCCCAAAGGCAAGAACAGCAGGATTATTCCCTCCATGTCCAGAAAAGGAAAGGAAATTACCTGAGATGACGTAGATATGAAATAACAGGGCTAGAATTCAGAATTCTCCTTCCAGGAATTCCCACTTTCCACCCCCTCCCCCCAAGTAGAGATTCGCTTCTTCTGAGTGGTGAGTGACCCTCTGCAAAGTAGAATCTGCAGGCTGAAACATCTACAACCCAATTAGTCCAACCTCGTAGTTGGGAAAACAGGGCAATGGGGAGGCAGCTTGCTGTAAAACTTCTCTGGCTTCCTTTTCTAGGAATTAGTGGTGGACCCTTGGACAATCACTACAGACTCAAACAGTTCCACTTCCACTGGGGAGAAATGAACGACTGGGGTTCAGAGCACACAGTGGACAACCAAGTTTACCCAGCTGAGGTTTGCACATGTGACCATGGCTTTATTTAAAGGATTTAAGGATGCCTCTCTCACCGACAGACAACCTCGGGCCCAGAGAACTTTAAAAACACGAATATTTGAGAAAAATCATACTGGGAAGAGTAAAGGTAGCAGGAGAAGTAGCAGGTATCAAAAGCAGAGCATCATTTGATTTCAGATATGGCAGAGGGTTTATGAACATAAAAGGAACAGCTAGGTGGTACAGTGGATAGAGTACTGGGCTTGGAGTCAGAAAGACCTGAGTTTAAATCCATCCTCAGACACTTACTGGCTGTGTGACCTTGGGAAAGTCACTTAACCCTGTTTGCCTCAACTTCCTCATCTGTCAAATGAGCTGGAGAAGGAAATGGCTTCAGTTTCTTTGCCAAGAAAACCCCAAATGGGGTCACAGAGAGTTAGACACAACTGAAACAATTTAACAAAAAATACTGTTACTACCTACTTCACGGGAAATGGCTTCGTAAATCTTAAATCACTATAAAAATTTGAGTTATTTATTATTCTTCTGAGGCTGATGATCTTACTATAGGGGTAGGTGTAGAAGGAATGAGAGGTCCAGATGCAAATAGATGAGAGGTATCTGGGGCAAATTTGGTTGAAGGGTAGTACTGGGTGCAGAGAACAGTCCTACCAAAGGCATGAGGGACCAGAAATCTGGGAGGGGTTACCCTGAAGTTCCAAAGAACCACAAAAATAGGCGTGGGGTGGCTGTGGGGAGAGAATATGCTTCTCCTGAATGTTGGCACCCTGGAGCAGAGTTCCCTTTGTCCCACTTAGTTACAGCTCTGCAGAGAAGTCTTTAAATCATGCTGCTAGTATAGAATGTTCTAGTTATATAACAAATTATATCTCCCAATTTGGAGGAGAAGATGAGATCACTATTCAATTTGCCCATAGTTTGTACTGTTTCTAAATAATAATAATATCTAGCATTTACATAGTGTTTTAAGGTTTTCTAAGGACTTTATAAATGCTATGTCATTTGTTCCTCACAAGCTTGAGATATAGGTACTATTATTACGCCCATTTTACAAATGAAGAAACTGAGGCTGAAAATGGTTAAGCATCTTGCCCAGGGTCACACAGCCAGCAAGTGCCCAAAGCAGAGTTTGGACTAATGTCTTCTTGATTGCAGATCTAACCCTCTATCCACTGTGCCACCTTGATTCTTTAGTTTGCACCTGTCTGCCTGCCTTTGGAGTAATAGGATGGAAGGGGTAGGGGAAGAAAGGGCCCGGCTGACTCGAGGTTTCTCCCCAGGCAGAGTTCACTGCCGACAGACAGAACCCGCCTGGTTAGCTCTCTTCCATTTCCATAGTAATTTGGAAGCTCAAGGATATATCACATGTTTATTCTCCGGAAGTTGGGTAAATAAATAGAGGCTGGGATTAAGACAATGAAATCCCCAGATGAAGGGATTCAAAAGCAGGGGAGTGAGAGTAAGGAGGGGGAGAGGAGAAGCAGGAGAAAGCAGGAAGGGAAGAGGAGCAAAAAAAGAAACATAGTATTTTAGGACTCAAAGGCCAGAAATGAAACATAGCAAAAACAGTGAGTGGCACCTAAAAAGTAGCGATAGATAAATAAATACATGGGGGGAAAGGCCACCTTTATTTACAACAAGACAATGAACATTTGTTTAGTGGCTAATCTGTGGGGAACTCCATGCCCGGCCCTGAGAGAGACGGGAAGTTCAGATAAGACATGATCAGCCTCAAAAAGTCATGTTCTTTGGGAATTTTCAGAAATTTAAAGGCATCATCTATATAACCTTGGGCAAGTCACATCCTGTCTTGTGGCTTTCGTTTCCTCATCTGAGACCAAGGGATTGGATCGTAGACACTCTAAGGTCCCATCTAGTTCAAAATCATCTACCTTTTTGTTAAAACGGAGAGGGTAGAACGTAACTTCTGCTGAGTCTTGCCATGCTAGAAAACTCAGAAAGAGACGGGAAGTCTATTATTCAAGAACCAGCCTGGGCAATTGTCGGAAAGGCCCATCATCGCGATGATTCTAGAATCACAACTCTTTTTCCTGTGACAACAACTCTCTGAGTTGTCTCTCTAATAAATTGTACAGTGTCCCATAAGTCTTAGTGCAGTTTTGGGGACAGATGGCCAGGATCATATATCCAGTATTAGAAGGGACCTCAGAGGCCTTCTGGTCCAGCAACCTCTCCCCCTCCATTTTACATATGAGAAAACTGAGGCCCAAAAAACGCGAAATGATTTTCTCAATGTTACCCAGGATTTAGCCGTTAGGTAGGATTTGAACCCAACGCATCTGACTACAGAGTCAGTGTGCTATTCCCTGTACTTCATTGCCTCCTAAGGGCTGAGATCTACATGGGTGAAAGAAGTACCAATACTGGAAAATTATTGATTATTTGAATTATTATACTGAATGTTATATTGAATTATTGAAGTTTTTGAAATGGAGTTCCTACTGTGTTAGACAATTTGAGGAGAAGGGGGAGAATATAAAGATGAATATTTATGACCCAATCCCCGCCCTCAAGGAACTTCCAGTCTAGTTGAGAAGTTTACAGCCTATTTATTTAGTATTGCCAAAACACTCCTCTTTCTCAGGCTATAGTTTCAAAGCCAGACAACCTTGTTAAGTTTTTATTCTGTCTGAAAGGGGAGCTCACAAACAAATCTGAGGAGCTTCTGAACTTTCATACTTTGAACAGTATTTCAGGAAATTTAATTTAATTGAATACATAAATATTTCAAGAGTGGGTGATTTCTTCACTTCGGCTATAGTTACTCCCTCCACCAATGCAGATTGCAATTCAGCTTTTTCTGAGTAGATGGACTACAGGTAGCCCAGACATTTGATCACCTGATAATCAACCTTTGGGGACTGACATTTAATACATTGAAGGAAAAAGAACGTATTTCCTCAGTTGGTTAACAATACGCTTGGAATTCTGCTACAATGGCCCAGAGGTGAAATTGGCCCTGTGAGGAAGGCCTTTAGCCCCTTCAGGAATTAAACCTCCGAGGTCTGAAGTCCAGGATGGATCTCTCACATATAGAGTTCAGATCTATATCTAATAATGTTATTAACATTCTACAGGTCCTTCCAACTTTGACATCTGATGACTCCATCACATCAATCAATAATGGTACAGTCTAAATAAGACATTGTCACTAGTCAGAATATTTATTAAGTGCCTACTATATGCCAGGAGGCAGCTAAGTTGTGCAATAGATAGGGTACTAGGCCTGGAATCAGGAGGACTCCTCTTCCTGAGTTCACATATGGCCTCTGACACTAACTAGCAATGTAACCCTGGGCCAGTCACTTAACTCTGTTTGCCTCAGTTTCCTCATCTGTAAAATGAGCTGGAGAAGGAAATGGTAAACTACTGCAGTATTTTTTGCCAAGAAAACCCCAAATGGGGTCATAAAGAGTTGGACACAACTGAAACAACTCAACAACATGTTCCAGGCACTATGCTAATATTTGCAAATATTATCTGATTTGGTAATTTGATCTTGCCACCCTTATGAAGCTTATAATTTAGTAGGGAGATAAGTTATCACACAATTTTATGATCAAGTCAACAAGCATTTATTAAATACCTATTATATGCCAGGCACTGTGTTAGGCACTAGAGACATTAAAAAAAAAAAAGGTGAGCAAAGCCCTTGTCCTCAAGGTGCTCACCATCTAATGGGAAGGAAACATGCAAACAACTACGGATAAACAAACTAGAGTTGGAATAAATTGTAGCTAATCACAGAGGGAAGCTGCTAACATTATGAGGAACTGGGAAAGGCTTCTTGGAGAAGGTGGGATTTTATCTGAGATCTGAAGGAAGTCAGTGAAGCCAAGCAGGCAGAGATAAGGAGGGAAGAAGTTCCAGGTATGAGAGGACAGCCAGTGGAAATGCTCCAATCTAGAGATGGAGGGACTTGGGCGAAAAACAGGAAAGAGGCCGTTGTCATTGGATTGCAGAAAATGTTGGGGGTTGGGAGAGAGAATAAGGTATAAGAAGGTTGGAAAGGAAGGAAGGGGCTACGTTATAAAGGATTTTGAAAGGCAAACCGAAGATTTTATATTTGATCCTGGAGATAATAGGGAATCAACAGAATTTATTGAATGGCCTGGAGTAGAGAGAAACTTGAGACAGAGAGACCATGGCATCCTCCTTCCAACTTCCCTCTAAATTCTACCTCAACTTCCCCAATATGGAGGTTGAAGGAAAGATCAAAGAAGGCCATAGCTTTCAAATGAAGTCAAGTCTTAATATTTGCTATGTCTCAGGAAATTTAAATTCTTTTTGAATTTCATTTCAGCTTCATTTAGTACACTGGAATTCTGCCAAATACCAAAATTACAAAGAAGCAGTAATGGGAGAAAGTGGTTTGGCTGTAATAGGAGTATTTTTGAAGGTAAACCCTCATAATATTATAGCTCTTCCACTCAGGAATTCAATGTGGGCAAAAAAATTAAACATTGATTTTTAAAAAATTAAGCGTGATGGGTATGAATTTGTCATCTTGTCTTGCTAAGCTACTCTTACCTCTCTGGTTAAAAAAAAAACACAGACAGCACTTTTAACACAAGTTTTTATGGATTTGCATCCTACAGCTGGGAGCAGAGCACAAGGAACTACAGAAGTTGGTCAATGTCTTACCAGAAATTAAGCATAAGGTAAGATGGTTATCCTGAAATCAACGTAATTTGGAAAGCAAAACTTGCTTAGCACACAGTTCATGGCACACAGGAGGTGCTTAAGAAATGCTAGTTGACCAACTTCGCTGTATTTTGGTGCCAAAGGAATGCTTTGTTATCATTTTTGTGATTTCTTGTTACCATACAAAGCATGCTATGGCAGAAAGACATCAGACTGAGAGTCAGAAGTCCAGGGTTCTATTAATAGCTAGTGATATGACCTTGGGTAAGTCACTTTACCTCTCTATGCCTCGGTTTCTACCTCCATAAATTGAAGGGGTTAGATGAGATGATCTTTAAGGCCCCTAATTCAAATCTCTTATCAAATGAGATAATATTTGTAAGGCACTTAGCACAGTACCAGATACACAGTAGGCTCTTAATAAATGCTTATTCCCTTCCTCTTTACTTCCAGAGCTGACCTTCTAGGATTTCACTGCATCAATCACTAAAGCATTCTAAATTTACTGATTTATTCACAGTATAACAGAGGCAGTTTGGTGCAGTGCAAGGAGAGTTGGTTATTTTTTGCAAAGAACTAGAAACAAAGTGGGCACCCAAGAAATGGAGTATGGTTAAACACAATCGTAGTCCATGAATGTAATGGAATATTATTGCACCATAAGAAATTATGAATATGAAGAGTTCAAAGAACTCTGGGAAGATTTTGATGAATTGATACAGAGAGAAGATAGAAGAATCAGAACAATTTGTATAATGACCCCAGTAACATAAAAGGAAAGTGTACTGCTTCAGGAGTCAGAGGACCTGGGCTCAAATCTTTTTTTTTTTTATCTTATTACATGGGTGACCCTGGACAGGTGATATCACCTCTCTGAGGCCTAAGTCTTCTCATCTGTAAAATGGAATGATTAGGCTAGATGACTGCTAAGGTCCATTTCAGCTTGAAATCTAGGACTCCATAATCCAAGAGAACCATGGCAAAGATGAGCATGTCACTCTGCTCCAATTTTAGTTGAAAAAGGGCTTTCTGATTGTTAGGTGAATATGGAATGGAAATTTCAAGAAATGTTGTTTATTTATTCAGGGTCAAACAAGAAGTGAAATGTATAAGCATCCTGAAGGATTCCTAGATGCTGTCAATAAACAGCGATATTAAGATGTGATCCCTGGGAAAACTATAAACCTTCCCTATAACAATGGTGTTGGCTACCACTGGATTAAAGCTTCGGAAAGCATGAGTTTTCCTCAGAGCCTCTGTTTGATCTGTGCATTGGACTTCCTCTTGGCCCCCTCACCCTAAAGGGAGCTTAGATCAAGTCAGTCCCACCCTCCACACACACATCTCGGCAAACTACAGAACTTTACAAGTTCAAGGTGAATCCCAGAGCCCTCATCCTTTTCTTTGCCAAACTAAACCTGGGATGTTTTCCAACAAGAAGGCCACAACACAATGCCTTTTGGTAGGAAAGAAAAGATCTGGCAGTGAAGAACCAACTTCTGCAACGTTGTTTACTCAGGGTTCCCTCTTTTTCTTCTTTGAAAATTCTGGGAAACTTTTCCCCCTGGGAAGATGACTACTACTAACCCTTTTTACCTTGGGTAAGTCACTTTGAAGCCTCATCTTCCTAATGTGTAAAATAAAGATGAGCTCTAAGGTCCCTTTCAGCTCAAAACTTTCTGGGATCAATATTCAGGGAGGCAGCATTTTCATGGAGAACTTAGAGTTCTGGTCAATGTCTAAGAGATCATTTAGCCTTGGGGTTCTTAACCTGGGGTCTACGAATGGCCAAGGGGTCCATGAATAGATTTCTAGGAGTTCATGAACTTGGATGGGAAAAAAAATCTTTATTTTCACAACCTTTGAGTTCCATTGTAATTCTATGTGTTTTATCTTATGCCTTGAAAAACATCATTCTGAAACCCATAGATCTCACCAAACTGCCTATGGTGTCCAGGATACAAAAAATGTTTAGATAACCCCCCAAACCCTCTCATCTTATAGATTGGGAGACTGAAGCTCAGAGAGGAGAACTGACTCTGACGCTACCCCCGAATTATATTGTGTGTATCTTCTCTGTACATAGTTATTTGCATGTTGTCTCCTCCATTAGACCATATGATTCTTTAAAAAAGGAACTGGTTTTTGCCTTTCTTGGTATCTCCAGTGCTTGGCACAGTGCCTGGTGCATAGTGGGCACTTAAATGCTAGTTGACTAACTGACCTAGCCTAGCTCACAACTAGTTACTGGCAGAATTGAGACTAGAATCTAGACTTCCTGACTTATTCTTTCTCTTTTCATTCAACAATAGTTCCTTACCTTTTGCCTTGATACAGTTTCCCCTCTTTTTGTGAATGGTTAATTTTAATTTTAGTTTTTAATTACCATGTAAGCAAAACTTTTTAACATCCTTCTTAAATTTTTTTTAGTTCCATATTCTCTTCCTCCATTCCTTCCATCTCCCCTCCATAGAAAGGCAAGCAATTTGATATAGATTATTCATGTACAGTCATGCAAAATATTTCCACATTAACCAAGTTGCACAAGAAAATACAGACCCTTCCCCTCAAACCCCTCTCCCAAAGAATAATAAAAAAGTTTTTTAAGAGTATAATTCAATCTGCCTTCAGACTCCATCAGTTCATCAGTTCTTTTTCTGGAGGTGGATAGAATTTTTCATCCTAAGTTCTTTGGAATTGTCTTGGATCTTTGTATTGCTGAGAAGAGCTAAGTCATTCCCAGTTGAACAGAGTAAAATATTGCTATTACTGTGTATAATGTTCTCCTAATTCTGCTCATTTCACTTTGCATCAGTTCATGTAAGTCTTCCCAGGTTTTTCTGAAACCATCCCCTCATCATTTCTTATAACACAATAGTAATCCATCACAACCAAATACCACAACTTGTTTAGCCATTCCCCAATTGATGGGCATTCATTTGATGTCCAATTCTTTGCCACCACAAAAAAGAGCTGCTACAAAGATTTTTGTGCATATAAGTCCTTTTCCTTTTTATTTGATCTCTTTGAAATACAGACTTAGTTGTGGTATTGCTGGGTCAAAGGGTATGCACAATTTTATAGCCCTTTGAGCATAATTCTAAATTACTCTCCAGAATGGTTGGATAGATCCACAACTCCACCAACAATGCATTTCCACATCCCCTCCAACATTTGTCATTTTCCTTTTCTGTCATATTTGCCACTACAATAGGTGTAAGGTGTTACCTCAGAGTTGTTTAAATTTGCATTTCTCTAAACAATAATGATTTAAAGCATTTTTCCATATGACTATTAATAGTTTTGATTCCTTTTTCTGAAAACTGCCTGTTCATATTTTTTGACCATTTATCAATTGGGAAATGACTTGTATTCTTACAAATTTGACCTAGTCCTCTATTTTTTGAGAAATGAGGCCTTTATCAGAAACACTGGCTAGAATTCCCCCCCACCCCAGTTTCCCACTTTCCTTTTAACTTTGGCTGCATTGGGTTTGTTTGTGCAAAACTTTAAAATTTGATATAATCAAAATTGCCTATTTTATATCCTATATTGCTCTCAATATCTTGTTTGGTCATAAATTCTTCCCTTAATCCATAAATCTGACAGGTAAAATATTCCATGCTCCCTCAGTTGTTTAAGATACCACTCTTTATGTCTAAATTATATACCTATTTCAACCTTATCTCAGTACACCAGTATCTCAGTGCTCATCCATACCTAGTTTCTGCCAAACTGCTTTCCAGTTTTCCCAGCTGTTTTTGTCAAATAGTGAGTTTTTGTCCCACAATCTTGGATCTCTGGGTTTGTCAAACACTGGATCAGTGTGGTCACTTACTACCATGTATTGTTTACCTAACATATTCCTCTGGCCCACCATTCTATTTCTTAACCATTACCAGATAGTTTTTTTTAAGATTGCCACTTTGCAATACAGTTTGAGATTTGGTACTGCTAAGCAACCTGTCTTCACATTTTTCCCATTGATTCTTTTGATACTCTTGACCTTCTGTCCTTCCAGATGAATTTTGTTATTATTTTTTCTAGCTCCATAAAATAATTTTGGGATAATTCAATTGGTATGGCACTGAATAAGTAAATTAAATTAGGTAAAATTGTCATTTTATTTTATTGGCTTGGCCTACCCATGAGAAATTAATATTTCTCTATTGTTTAGATCTGAGTTTATTTGTGTGAAAAGTGTTTTGTAATTGTGTTCATACAGTCCTTAGGTTTGTCTTGGCCTAACTCCCAAGTATTTTATATTATCTGTAGTTATTATACATGGAATTTCTTTACCTAGCTCTTCCTTCTAGACTTTGTAATACATAGAAAGGTTGATGATTTGTATGGGTTTTTTTATATCCTGTACCTTTGCTAAAGTTGCTAACTATTTCAACTGGTTTTTTAGGTGATTGTCTAGGATTATCTAAGTATATGATCATATTATCTGCAAAGAGTGATAGTTTTGTTTTCTTATTGTCTATTCTAATTTCTTCTTTCTATTTCTTTAATTTCTAATTATTTTTTTCTTCTCTTATTGCTATAGCTAGCTTTTCTAGAACAATATTAAATAATAGTGGTGATAATGGTCATCCTTGCTTCACCCCAATCTTATTGGAAAGGTTTCTAGCTTATCCCTGTTCTGGATAATGCTTGTTGATGGTTTTAGATAGATACTACTTATCATCTTAAGGAAAGTTCCATTTATTCCTATGCTTTCTAGTGTTTTTTTTTTTTTAATAGGAATGAGTGTTGTATTTTGTCAAAAGCTTTTTCTGCATCTATTGAGATAATCGTATTATTTTTGTTCATTTTGTTATTGATATGGTCAATTATGCTGATAGCTTTCCATATACTGAACCAGCCTTGCATTCCTGGTAAAATCCCACCATGTTACAGGGTATGATCCTTGTGATATGTTAGTGTAATCTCTTTGCAAGTATTTTATTTAAGATTTTTGCATAAATATTCTTTAGGGAAATCAGTCTATAACTTTCTCTGTTTTTTGCTCTTT